CCTGGTTCTTACTTAAAAAAAAAAATTTTTAAACTTACATTTAACGAAACAAAAAAAAGAAAAAAGCGAAACGAAATAAAATCACTTTCCATTACATACAAAACTGAACTATTTTAATAGCTGAAACAGTAGTATAAGCTTTTTTTGGGAGAAGGGGAAAAAAGACTGGCTAGGGCCTATATTTGAGGCCCGTGCAGGGCTCTAATCCACTTCCTCTAAGCTGTTTTGTTCACTGTTGTTTTCATCTGTGAGCATGCTCTTGATATATGCATTTTACCATTTTGTTGAGTTTAAAACGTGACACATTCGTTCTGCTCTCAATTTGTGTCAGAGATGTAACAATTAAAATGCGACTTTGTGAAACGGACTGTCCTAAATTGTTGCTATATAGTAGCATCATATTAATGCTAGAAAGCCTATGCATTTGGCAACTATATATTTTAAATTAATCATTATATTTCATAATTAAAATCTATTTTCACACTCATCTTGGGTGAGGAGGCGGGATACGCACCCCCCCCCCCCCCCATAAATTATGGGTAAGGTTAGGTTTAGGGGTGGGGATTGGGTTAAGTCTGTATTTTTGGACAGTAATGTTGATCCAGGAACATGTCTTACTTGGCAAAATCACGGTGACCGCTGTGGACAGGTGTTGTCTCTACTAAGTGTGAGATTCCTATGGAAACATCCTTTGTGGCAAATTGTGCATTTAATAAATTTTCCTGTCAGAGCTTTAACATCCAGGGACAAATCCCAAAGCAATCTTCATCAGAGGTGTTACATTTCCACCATAGCTTGTGTTTGATGGTCCAAAGAGAGCCACTTGGCATGCATATTGATTCATCATGTGTATATATACACACACACACACACACACAGCGATTGAACAGTTGAGCGTTTCTCCAAAGAGTAGTGCACAGGGTGAATTCAGGTCGATGCGCAAGAAACGTAATTAAAATACCATGAGAAAATGTTTATTCAGTAGTGTTTTTTTTTATGAAATACAATACTGTTTCTGTTTCATTACCACTCATCACATTTCTCCAGTTCCAGCTTTTAACATCATTCCGATGCACAATTGTCCTCAAATCCCTGTAGAACTGTTTCAGAACAGTAGGCACTTCAAGGGTTTCTAAAACATTTGTGAATATACATTTTCATAGATTTTTTTAAAAACTAACATATTGTATATAATATGTAGTATATAAATAATTATATTCTATAAATTATTGTATATTAACATATACAGAGACGTCATTGACTCTAAATGGTCAGGTCTTTATAAGAAACAATGGAAATGCACATGAAAAGAAGGGTAAAAATGAGCAGATGTGATTCACGTTATTAATCACCTTCACTGTTAACAACACTGTTCGAGTCTTTGGAAGGTCAGAGACATTCAGCAGAATATGCTTGAGTCAGAACCATGGGAGAAATCTTTGCAAAAGCTGCTTCCGCATGAGGGGGTAATATTATGAAATAAAGAAAAATGGCCTTCATTAGGGTTCCAGTCAAAATGTGTTGATTGAGAACAGTGTGGGTGTAAAATCAGTAATACTGATGACTTTTACTGGGTAAATGATGTTAACCTGTCGTAGAAGATTCATTCTTTGACTCTTACACTTGTTCATAATGAAGACTGAATTTGTGTGAAAAAAAATCCATATCTTATTCTAATGAACATTTTCCCTTCCAAGCATCGGATAAGTGGGAATCAAATAGTTTCATGGAAAAACAAAACGTTCTTGACCTTGATAAGTGGTTTTGTGCAATACAAACTTATATCATGGTTAAAGTAATTTTAATAATTTAAGTAAATTACTGCAGTGCTATGAATTGTGATGCTGCAGACTTTCAGCCAAGTACAGTCAAGTACAACTGATTTTTCGAAGAGACTTTAACCTGCATGATTGCTTGACATGAACAGAGAGAGAATAAAGGAATACAAGTATAGCGCAGTGTGTTCTTGGCTTCAGGCAAAGTAGAATTTGAACTTTCAGGGACTTAACACTGAACCAACTACATTAGAAACATGATATAAGAAAATACATTTAAACATTCTGAAAAAAAATGTGTGATGATTTGATATCGGCCAGATGGAAATACAAACATTCATTTTGACTGAAGAACATAATGGCACAATCCAAGGGAGAAAAACCCTTTACAAAAATGATGAGATGAAAATTAAGTTACTGATAAAGTCTACACTGAGATAAGTTACTGAAATGTAATCAGTGGAAAATTAAAGGTATCAGATGTAACCCAGGATTTACTGTACATCCCAGAATTGTCTTGTTCTTTAATAAAGCGTACCTCTACTGTTACAAACTAGTCAATGACTAAAACCTGTGAGCAATGATTTACCTTCATACACTGACAACAACTGGTTTCAAAAACCATAGAGAAACAATCGTTGACGTTTTTGATCCCAAAAAAAGGAAATACAAGCCCCGGTTGGCTTTCCCGAAGCAAAATTACTTTTTGTTACATTTTTAAATAAGTAAAGGTTCCCCCGTAAAAATGTGTCCCACTTGATGTGCTACCGATCCACCATTACTCTTGGAGAGGAGTTGGTTGTCATAACAATGTTACTGTTGGCAATGATTGGTCATTCAGGCGTAAAACTCTTTACTCGGAGCCTTCTGATAGGCTGAGCTGGGAGGCTTGCGCTCTCCAAGGTCGTAGCTCCCCTCATCCTTCTTTCTCATACGGTAAACCAGAAGGAGGATGAGGAAGATGGCAAACAGGAAGCCAATCACTCCGCCGGCTATAACAGCTGCACCAAGAAAAAGGACACCGTGTCAAAAAATGTCTATTGTTTAAAATAATATCTAAAACCATATTCAAGTACACATCATATTCAAATGCTTCGACAAAAACTCACAAATGCAAATGGAATTAATCAAAATACCAGTGAAATGTGAGACGACAATGGTTTGTCAGCTTACAGAATTTATTAAAAATGGATGAAGGGTGATACTAAAATCATGGGTACTTTTGACTACTTCAGAGGTGAAAAATATATTTGATCTATTATTCTATTCTATATTATACTATTCTATTCTAATCTGTTATTCTATTTGACATTTAAAAAATACTCTTATTATTTTACTGACATTTTTCAATGTGTTTGGCAAAAAGCTTTTTTTTTTAAATAAATAAAAATAATAAATCATGGATAAGCCTTGAACTTTCTAACACAACAAGTCAACTAGCAGTCCATTAAAAAATAAATAAAAAGAAACCAATTATTTACCAAATTGGCCAAAATTTATGCATTTTAATTATGTTAAATTTATATTTCTAGTCTTTAAACTGGCACTCTGCTGCTTTTGCAGAAATATGCACCTCATCACTTCTCATTTCCATCATAACCAAATGTAAACTTATTTTGGAAAAACCCAATCATTCTGTAAAATGCACGGCATGATTTATTAATTTTTTTTTTTTGTTAAAATTGGTAAACACATAAATACTAAATATATATATATATAAAAAAAATACTTAATACTAAAACTTAATAGTTTTAAGGTCTAAGACAAATGTACAACGTTGAATTTTCTTGCTTTTGAGATATTTTATAAGGTCTGGACCAAGGACGAGCCTAAAATAGAGACCCTAAAGCAAATTAACATTTTAAATAGTCCACAAAATGAAAATGTGTTTAAAGAGACAAATTAAAACTTTAATAATTGTGAAAATTGCAATAATTAAATTTTTAAAGCATTTAAAAAAAAATCTTAATAGGTGACTAAAAAGTTCCCCTATTTGAAGAATCACTCTTGCATGCTGTTCATTTTGAACATACCTGCCAGCACTTCTGTCCTTTGGAAGAGATTTTCTGTGCGAACCTCATGAAGCGGGTCAGCGTCTTGTACAACACTCGGTGAGCTGGTGGCTTCAACAGTGACCTGGGGCTTTTCTGTCTGATAGTCAGAGATCTAAAAAACAGCGAGAGAAAGACAGCTTAGCATCCAAACTGCTGACACAAAAAAACAGTCCAGCTTGTAGATAGTGTCGGAAAGAGTGAAGAGATTCTATAACAAGATTGAAGGATCCAGTAAAACTGTGAGAGACAGTAGGTCAGTGTAAGTGTCAAAAAGGGGCAATATCAAAAGTATCACAAGTTGTCACAGTTTTGCAGGCTGTGCAGGTTTTCGGAGCAGTGGGAGTCAGCAAAAGCTTTGATAGTGTCAGAACCAGTATGACTGAAATGGGCGAGCAATCGCACCTCTGGTCCGAAGTCTGAATCAATGAATGTGTTTATGCTGATGGAGGACTCCAAGCTAGGGCTGCTGCTGTAGACGGGCTCCTGAGTAGAATCTGCTTTGAATTCTGGGTACCGCACAATTACCGTGGAAGTGTCTTCGTCATCATCTGTGTCACTAGAACCTAAAGAGACGCATGAGAAATAAAAAAAATGAGATGAGAATCAAACAAAAGAAAGTTTTCCTAATATTTCATGCATTTGATTGGCAGAGCAGTGTCTGTCACATATCACTCAGCTTGTCTTTTTTTGTGTGGGGACTTTTAATTTACTCTTTCTGTGGGCTACACTTAAATGCCATTAGGTAGCGACAAGTGACTCTCTTTGGAATCATTGACTTAACTGACTAAGGCTATGTTCCACTTTGTCTTTTTATACCGTTCTCTCACTAACTTCCCTACATCTCGTTGACTAGGATGTATGTCATTGATTACACTGCACGGGTGCCCACTAGGCTTGCTTCGATCAATGGTGTTTTCGGTTATACCGGTGTTAAGCCGCAACACCGGTTACGTCATTTGCCTACCGTGGCACCGCCCCCCACCGTCGTTTTGATTTTTTTATAGTAACAAAAATAATTTAGCCTAGTTCAGTTAGAGGACAGACACTTTTAAAAACTAAACACTCAGTGCAGCGTGCCGAACCATGCGTGAACAACAGTGCACCACGGAGCAGGAGTCAGATTGTATTTATCATGTGAGGAGAGTGAGTCGAGCTGACTGACAAGAGTGCCGAAAAAAAAAAAAAAAAAAAAAAAAAAATCCCCTCGATGTGATCCCCCATTACTCTTGGAGAGGAGTTGGTTGTTATAACGATGTTACTGTTGGCAATGATTGGTCGTTCAGGCGTAGAACTCTTTACTCGGAGCCTTCTGATAGGCTGAGTTGGGATGCTTGCGCTCTCCAAGGTCGTAGCTCCCCTCGTCCTTCTTTCTCATACGGTACACCAGAAGGAGGATGAGGAAGATGGCAAACAGGAAGCCAATCACTCCGCCGGCTATAACCGCTGCACCAAGAAAAATGACACCATATCAAAAAAATTCATATGGTTTGAAATAATATCTCAAATCATATTCAAGTACACATCATATTCAAATGCTTCAACGAAAACTTACAGATGTAAATGAAATAAAATATTAGAGAAATTTGACAGAGAGACAACAATGGTTTGTCAGCTTATAGAATTTATTAAAAAATAAATCAAAAATCATGGGTAATTTTGAGAAAAATCTTTTATTTATGTACTGGGATAAAGATTTGATTTTGTCCTTGATCAACCTTGAATATCTTGTAATTATGTTTTATTCTATTTGACGTTTAAAAATACTATTATTATTATTTTACACACACACACACACACAAAATGGATATGCCTTGAACTTTCTAACACAACAAGTCAACTAGCAGTCCATTATAAAAAATAAAAAAAAATGGCCAAATTGGTCAATATTTATGAATTTTAATTATGTAAATGTGAAAATTTTCAGTTAAGTATATTTCTAGCCTTTAAACTGGCACTCTGCTGCTTTTGCAGAAATATGCACCTCATCACTTATAATTTCCATCATAACCAAATGTAAACTTTTTTGGGGGAAAAAAACAAAAAAATGGTAAATTTGTATACATAAATATTAAATAAATAAAAAAAAGTAATACTAAAACTTTAAAACTAAAAAAATTTACAAAGTAGAATTTTCTTGATTTGTAAATATCAATACTCCACAAAATGAAAAAGTAATAAAAAATAAGAAATTAAATTTTTTAAGCATTTTTTTCCTTTAAAATCTTAACAGGGGACTAAAAAGTTCCCCTAATTGAAGAAACACTCTTGTATGCTGTTCATTTTGAACATACCTGCCAGCACTTCTGTCCTTTGGAAGAGATTTTCTGTGCGAACCTCATGAAGCGGGTCAGCGTCTTGTACAACACTCGGTGAGCTGGTGGCTTCAACAGTGACCTGGGGCTTTTCTGTCTGATAGTCAGAGATCTAAAAAACAGCGAGAGAAAGACAGCTTAGCATCCAAACTGCTGACACAAAAAAACAGTCCAGCTTGTAGATAGTGTCGGAAAGAGTGAAGAGATTCTATAACAAGATTGAAGGATCCAGTAAAACTGTGAGAGACAGTAGGTCAGTGTAAGTGTCAAAAAGGGGCAATATCAAAAGTATCACAAGTTGTCACAGTTTTGCAGGCTGTGCAGGTTTTCGGAGCAGTGGGAGTCAGCAAAAGCTTTGATAGTGTCAGAACCAGTATGACTGAAATGGGCGAGCAATCGCACCTCTGGTCCGAAGTCTGAATCAATGAATGTGTTTATGCTGATGGAGGACTCCAAGCTAGGGCTGCTGCTGTAGACGGGCTCCTGAGTAGAATCTGCTTTGAATTCTGGGTACCGCACAATTACCGTGGAAGTGTCTTCGTCATCATCTGTGTCACTAGAACCTAAAGAGACGCATGAGAAATAAAAAAAATGAGATGAGAATCAAACAAAAGAAAGTTTTCCTAATATTTCATGCATTTGATTGGCAGAGCAGTGTCTGTCACATATCACTCAGCTTTTCTTTTTTTGTGTGGTGACTTTTAATTTACTCTTTCTGTGGGCTACACTTAAATGCCATTAGGTAGCGACAAGTGACTCTCTTTGGAATCATTGACTTAACTGACTAAGGCTATGTTCCACTTCGTCTTTTTATACCGTTCTCTCACTAACTTCCCTACATCTCGTTGACTAGGATGTATGTCATTGATTACACTGCACGGGTGCCCACTAGGCTTGCTTCGATCAATGGTGTTTTCGGTTATACCGGTGTTAAGCCGCAACACCGGTTACGTCATTTGCCTACCGTGGCACCGCCCCCCACCGTCGTTTTGATTTTTTTATAGTAACAAAAATAATTTAGCCTAGTTCAGTTAGAGGACAGACACTTTTAAAAACTAAACACTCAGTGCAGCGTGCCGAACCATGCGTGAACAACAGTGCACCACGGAGCAGGAGTCAGATTGTATTTATCATGTGAGGAGAGTGAGTCGAGCTGACTGACAAGAGTGAGGTGAGAAAACAAGACGATGGCAGAAGATTGTTTAGAAAGGAAATGCAAAAGCGCCCATTTGGCAATATTTTCGATTTTGAAAAGCCTATTGACTGGAAGTTTTTGTTAAACATTCGTTTCTTATTTATTTGGTTCCACAGTGTTTGCTGATTACTTTATTTAAACTTTGTGTATTTAATTTATTTTATTTTACATCAAGGTGTATATGCCATGCCTCCAAGCTTTCTTATTCGTTTTGCTAATAAACGTTCTATGTTTCTTATTTATTTGGTTCTACAGTGTTTGCTGATTTTCAGTTTTATATACCTATTTAAACCTTGTGTAGCCTAAGTAATTTGTTATTTTATTAAGCATAGGCCTATATGGTGTATTTTTATTAGTTTTGTTAATAAAAGTTCTGAGTTTGACGTTGTTGTTGCTTGAATTGAATCAAAGCTCAATTTCCCCTAATTTGAAAGTGAAAGTAAAATGCGCACATCGCTTTTTCAAGCTATTTGAAAGTCAAGAAATCCGAGGAAAAGAGGGAAAACTCAAACAAATAATTGCTTGACGCCGAATTGCGGCAGTTGCCACTAATTTGAAAGTGAAAGTAAAATTTGCACGGCACTTTTAAAAGCCATTTGAAAGTGAAGAAAAGAGGGAAACTCAAACAAACTAACACCCCAACCGGTATTACCGGTGTTGTCACTCATCGATTAACTGGTGGGAAAATTTCCTCACCGTCACAGCCCTAGTGCCCACTACTTGGCAGAACCCTTGCAATGGGCTGAATTGGAGCGTCCCTTTGATCATCTGGAATCCACTATGGAGTTTATTAATTATTAAAAAATGTTCCTTGTATGCTACATTCTATATGTATTACGGATATGCTTGGGCTGTTAAAAAAAAAAAATCATATATCATAGAGTTATTTGGGGTGGGAGTAAATTAAACGCGATCTGTGGTGACATCACAATCTAGTTGCATTGTGGTATATGGAGCGGCCTGAAGTGTACAGTACATTTGACGTAGACTTGCTCCTTCTGTCAAAATCTCAGGGTCGAGGGCCTGTCCACATAAACTTCCCTCATCCACTTCATGAATTGGAACTCACTTCAAAATGGCAGAAGTCTAAAAGTGAAGTAGAACATCATTCATGAACTAAGTTACTGTCTTCATGAGAGAGTCACTGAATAATTTACTTAACTGTTTCATTCAGAATGGAAATTATTGTCTATTGCTCTGGGATGCACAAGTGTTAATTCCGATGGGGCTTAATTTGGCACTATTTTCATTGGCAGAGCAAAAAGTCACAGGCAATACTGTGTACAACCGTGCTTATTTTCGACAGCACTTTTAATTTTATGATGTTGCTTAAATATTGCATAGGCCTATATCTTATGCAGTATCTTTAGCTTTGTCTGGACGTTTTAAACACAAGGACAGTTTTTATGTTGATACCCATTCACACAGAATGTGTTTTTGTGTTCCTCTGTGCTGATTTCACATGCACTAGATTAACATGTTTGACCGCTGTGGTCGCACATATTTTGCAACAAACACATTAAAAACAGTACTTTAAAAAAAAGTATCTCTAGATTTTGCGCTATATTTCACAACCCTGCATCTATCTTTTTTAAATTCAAAAATGCATTCTGTTTGAATGGCACCTAGCAACATATTTAGTAAACCTGAAACCAGCCTGATCATACAGGGTTCTCTCGAAATGATTATGCAACTAGTCATTTGTAAGTCAATTTTAAAAAATGAGAGTTTTGCACGTCTATGACGTTATGGTCTGATGGGACTATAATGGCCTGAGCTTTAGTTTATATGTTCCAAACTTCTCTCTTTCTTGGAATTTCAGTTCTGTATAAATATAACCATAGAGAATGGGAATGCAAGATCAGCACAATTGTGCTTAAAGTGTTTCCGAGAGAGACAGATGAAATATATAAAATGTATAAATATTTCAACCATACTCTCCATTTTGCACTGTAATTGTGCCAGGTACAAGGCACTGTGGTACAACAGTAAGAGGTAGAGAAATGGCTGAGTGACCATGGTGGTCTTGGCTGACCGTGTTCTACTGCAGGTGAAACATCTGTCTCCTCACAGGGTGGGCAGCATAGTCTAGCAACCACCTAGCAGCCCTTCTATTAACAACACATCCCACAACCTTTAGACACAACAACACTGGCTCTGTGGGTTGATTATAAATACTTAATTCATTATTTTCTAGTAAGTTGACTAAGAAAATGTACCAAATTGCAGCATAAGTAGCACGTAATAGCATAATTTGTCTTTAAAGATGCCATAGAATGGAAAACTGTATTTACGTTGGCATAGTTGAATAATAACAGTTCTGTTCATGGAAATGGCATACCCTGAGCCTCAAACACCATTGTTTCTTCCTTCTTATTAGTGTTGGGTCGTTCTTGAACGATTCGTTCATTTTGAAGCATCCGCAACATCCTATTCGGTTGTTAAGTGGTGACGTAAGAAGCGCTGTTTCCGAGTCCAAGCCTCAACTCGCTTCACTTGAGAATACTATCTCAGCAGCCGTTTATGAGCACTGTTTATTCATATTAAACATTTAAGCTAAACGTTTTCAAATTTGCGGTCTACACTACAGTCTTCATGCTCACAGCGTCCCAAACTCAAATAATTTTTATATTTATTTATTTATATTTTCATTGTCTGGCTATCTGGGATTTCGGTATGGAGTTAAAGGTTAGGATTATAATTTTTTTTGGTAGTATTATATCACATTGTGAGTATATTAGCACCTTTTGTTGTTTTCTCGTGGTATCTGATAGAGCTTTTGGACACGGAAGCGGTGACACGTGACGTCAGACTTAACAAGCGGATAGGTTCTGTACTGGAATTAGTCAAGTAGTTCACCTGTTTCGAGTCTTTGGGTTTTTCGAGTCATTCGTTCATCACGTGACAGCCCCATAAGCACTATGCAGTCTGAGCCGGAAAGAGAATTGATTAGTTCATCTCTCGAGTCTTCGGGTTTCTCCGAGTCGTTCGTTCATCACGTGACAGACCCATAAGCTTTCCCTATGCAGTCTGAGCCCGAAAGAGACTTAATAATAATAACCAACTCTTTATTTCCTGTGTTACAACATTCAGTGTTATGGAAAAGAACCATAATGACAGAAATTCACTCCGAGTCGTTCGTTCATCACGTGACAGACCCATAAGCTTTCCCTATGCAGTCTGAGCCCGAAAGAGACTTAATAATAATAACCAACTCTTTATTTCCTGTGTTACAACATTCAGTGTTATGGAAAAGAACCATAATGACAGAAATTCACACATTTATAAACTGTAAGAATTAAAAAGCTACAATTTGAGACCAGAAAAGCATCATGTAACTGTAAGAGTAAATAATAGTAATAATGATGATAATAATAATAATAATAACAACTTTGCACCCGTTTGTAAGGAGGCTTGTAAATTAACTAATTTCTCTATCCAACGCTGTCACGTCACGTGACAAAAGAACGTCTAGGTTACTTGTGTAAACCTCGTTCCCTGAAGGAGGGAACGGAGACGTTACGTCAGTGACTGACGAATTGGGATCTCGTGTGGACCTTCGAGTGTTAACTAAACAAGCCAATGACAGTTGGCGTGCGTGTTTCACCACGCGCACCCCGCCCCGCAGCGCGGGTATAAAAGGAAAGCGCGTGCAAACGCACATCAGTTTTTCGCTGAGGAGCCGAGACTACGTGCCCCGGCCGTACAGCGGTGGTACAGCAACTGTGGCAACGGAACGTAACGTCTCCGTTCCCTCCTTCAGGGAACGAGGGTTACACAAGTAACCTAGACGTTCCCATTCAGTCAGTCACGTTCAACGTTACGTCAGTGACTGACGAATTGGGATCCGTATGGAAAACGCCACTATTGCGGACCCCCTCCAGTGCCCTGCGGAAGCCGGCAAGCCCCCCCACACCAGCTGGGGCGGAAGATAGGACAGCGGCTAGGCAGAGGTGTCCGCCACTGCTGTTCCATACAGTGGTGCATTGGATAACACTGGGAAAGCGTACCCAGTTGGGACGCTACGGAAGCCACATCCCGCACATAGGAGGTAACATGTGGAATTACACATATGGACTGGCCCAGGGCAGTACTACATATGGAAGTCTCTGCGGTAGACTCAACCCACCTGGGGTGAGATCACTACACTGCAGAGATGGCAGTGAACGACTGCCAGGGAAAGACACGGGCTCACCGAGAGGGGAGCCGTACCGTGGAAGGCTGAAGCGGTCTCATATGAAGCAACCCGAGCGGCGTGACAGCGGCTGCGGATGCCATATGCCCCAGGAGCCTCTGAAACTATTTCAGTGGAACCGCCGCCTTGCACTGGAAGGACCCCAGACAGTTCAGCATCGACTGTGCACGTTCTCCTGAGAGATGTGCCGAGAGGTTGACCGAGTCCGGCTCCATGCCGAGAAAAGAGATCCTCTGCACCGGGGAGAGTTTGCTCTTCTCCCAGTCGACCCTGAGGTCGATCGCTGCGAACCAATCGAAGGGACGGACGCATTGAAAGATGCGTTTCTGCGTCAACATCCTGAACGGGAGCTTGTGAAGGGCCCGGTTCAGCACGCGTAGGTCCAGG